TTTAACCACTGTGAGAGTGTTTTTGTAGTACATGTAACTGCTACAAAAATAGTCAATGCTGTTACAGTAACACCATAAAGGTCCAAAGGCCCCTAGGGATCTCAACACACATCATAAGGCACGTGACTGAAGGCACGCAGCTTTAAATATCAGCAGAAGATTTGGCTTAGGTTTCCTGAAGAATTTTAAACCCTGTTGGGGACTGGCCTGATAGCATTTGACCCTAGAAGGCAAGAAGCCATTATTGGCAACATGAATATTTCTGTTTTATATATGTTCTAGAGAGAGGGGATAGGTCTGACCGTAGTATATGTATGTTGGGAAAAGTAATTATGTACATGTACAATGTACAATGTTTGTGGGTATTGGGGGAAAGTGACTATATAATATATATACATGTACATTGTACTTAGTATATCTTGTTTTCAGTGCTCTAGCAAGTCAGATCAAATTCTGTCAGCCCAGGTTCACGACTGGACCTGGGGGGGGAGAGTGCTCACTATTTAGGGGGTCCAGGATCAAATTTTGGATTTCCAAGCCTTTGAAAACACAATTTCCAACATTTTGAGGGGCAAATTATGGGGTTGAGAGTGGTTCTTGGTGGCCCTTTTGGATGTTTTTATATTTTTCCCTAAGATTTTCGTCAATTGTATCCATCTAGGTTGAAGGATTGGTTTGAAAAAAGTTCCTTCTCACATCACAAAGACGGAAAATGGGTGCTGGCTATAGCTAGAGCCCTGCTTGTTTTGCTGCCTCAGTCCCCAGGAGGTCCCTGGGGGATAGCTATCTGTATTTAGCCCACCCTTGTTAGGAGGGGGAGGAGGGATCATATCATCCCTCATTTCCTGCCTCATTAACTAGATTAACTATTATGGACTCATACTGTAAGTAAGTTGTTCATTCAGAAGTGCAGTAGAAAGTCTTTTTCTTGGGAAACCTTTAGGACGTAGAATGTCCAGACTGTGCATGATGTACAAAATGACTTATAAACTGGTGGACGTGCCAACCACTAAGTATCTGATACCAGCCCAGAAAAGAACAAGAAACAGTCATGCCTTCAAATATCAGAGTTATCAACCAAGAATTGAGGTGTTCAAAAATTCATATTTTCCCAGCACTATCGTAGACTGGAACTCGTTGCCACCAAGCACAGTTGGGGCATCATCACTAGAAAGCTTAAAACATCTCCTGCAATTAAATGTGCAAAGATTGAGTGTAACAAGTCGTTCGGTGTGATATAGCAAGCTGCCGCCGAGCCGCATGCCTGTGAAGCTGGCGTGTTGCGCCGAAGGTCGGTTATACCGGCTATACAGATACAGAAGCTGGTGCGTTGCGCCGAAGGTCGGTTATACCGGCTAAACAGATACAGATACAGAGGATGTGCAAGCCAGCATATGGGCCACCCACTATCCATAGAACTTGCCTGTGCTTTCCAGTATTATACTCTACTTTCCAAAGTTTCGTGCTAAATGACTTAGAAATGGCCTTGGCAACCACATGAATGACCACATAACACGTTTGGCATTTCTGTACATGTACATGTGTCATAATGTCTGCCAACCCGAAATTGAATCCCAGCATGGTGGTCAGATCTGCATCTTTGGAGTGGGGCCAAGATTCAATACACAGGGAAAAGTACAAAAGTAAGTGCATATAATCAATTTAGGTTTTTACCATGGTCAATGCTAACTGAAGGAGGACATATATCAGGGCTCAAAATACTGGGTGCATGTGCACCTTGGTGCACCCAAATTTGGAGCTGTGCACCCAGTTTTTTTCTGTGAATGCACCAGTGTACCCAAATATTTTCTAAATAGGTTTAACGTATGTCAAGGTGTTAAATGTGTAGTAGTTACAACATATTCTAAAGTGTCAGAAAAAAGAATACAATGATCATTGTTATTATAATCATAGTATTTTTCTTGAAAGAAACATACTTATAGTTTTTGCTGACATTCTACAATGTACCTACATGTATCTTATCTTACATGGTGCACCTAAAATCATAGTATTTTTCTTGAAAGAAACATACTTATAGTTTTTGCTGACATTCTACCTATCTTATCTTACATGGTGCACCTAAAATATTTTTTGTGCACCCAATTTTTTAGGTTGGGTGCACCAGTGCACCTATTCCCAAAAATGAATTTCGAGCCCTGTATATACATGTATATGTGTGTATACATGGATGTATACAAAAGGTTAAACTTGTTACTAGCTGTCAACATTGTACTAAAAAAAACTTGAAATGCTTCAATTCTAACTCGAAGTTCAAAGTTTATACCACTTTGAGTTTGAGTGCAGAAACTTTCTTGACCTTCCTTCCAAATGGTTATCAGAAGTGCTCCAGTCTGATTAAAACTCTGATAGCATCTCCCTTTATCTTGATACTCTCCTCTGGGACCTTCTAAAGCTGTTCTTTATCTCTCAGTGATTAGGTCCAGAGGCACAGTTCTAACTCAATAGATGATCTGGTTACCTCTGGTAGCCTATCTTGTCTTTATCTTTCTACTATCTGTGCTTTCACCCTTTTAGTTTTAGGCCCGATTTAGACTAGAAACGGTATACCGTTTCGAAACGGTACGAAACGTTTCGCCACAGAAAACGGTTCGTCTTTAGACACAGGGGCGGAAGTGTTTCGGGCCGCCCTTGGCGCAGGATGTTTCTGACCCACAGTGACCTATGATGACCTCCCCGAACCACTTCTACGGTTTGCCTCATTGGCCTTACGATACTTGTGTTTCAGGGCCTTGAACTTCGCCCGAACCTGCTTTGGGGTGCATAAATACCCCTCAGCCGCCAGCCCGTCCACAAGCATCTGTATGCCCTCCTTATTACGCGAGGTCTCCAAGCGGGATTGTATAGTTTGATCGGCCCACAAGATGATCAAGAAGTGGGTCTCATCTTGGGTCCAGACCCTCCCCTGGCCTTCTACCATCCCTCCAGACGTAAAGGATAACAAAAATTCGAGAAATACATGATAAAATGGCGAAAATGGACACAATCGAATATGGCGCGAATCTACCAGAAAATGGACGTGCGCGGGGTTATTAGCATGTGATTAGCATATGACATGTGACCTGGTTTACCGTTTCAAGAAACCCTTTGTCTTTAGACCTAGCAAAAAGCGTTTCGGGCCCCCCGCTAAAGGGTTCTGAAACGGTCGAAAACCACGATGGAGGTGGTTTTCGGAAACGGTCCGCGAAAACCCATAACAAACCGTTTTTTCCTCTTTAGACCGGGAACGGTTAACCGTTCCGAAACGTTTCCCTGGCCAAAACCCCTTAAGCGTTTCTAGTCTAAATCGGGCCTTAGAGAGGTAATTTAATCAGTAGTACATCTTCATGTCTTTTCTGATTTAGTACAGTCAAACTCATGTAACTTGTAAGACGACCACTAAGGGGACCAAGGAAAAGTAGTCTTCTTATATAGGCCACACCAATTAAATTTGGTTCTGGGATTTTTCCAGAAAAAATATGACACGACAGGGCGAAAAAAATAATAACAGGTCAAGGCATCCTACTATAGCCCAAAATGAAACGACAGTGGACAGGGGCCATGGAGTAGGCACAAAAGGCTCTGTTAATATTCAAACAATGAATTTTGAACTTTTAATCAAACCACTTCATTCAATGCAGTGGTTTGATTAAAAGTTCAAAATTTGATAGATGGAAAAACTGTAACAACTGTTGGGGGGGGGGCAAAATATGAGCATTTTTGAGCTGATACAGAATCTTTTTTTTTTTTTTGCAAATCAGAAAAAACAAAAAAAGAAGAGGTGAATCCATGAACCAACAAATTAAATTGGTGTGGCCAATTTCATTAAACTTTCTCGCTATAGTTATAAAAAAAACTTCCTTCACAGTGGTACTGTGGCTTTACAGTCTAAAAGGACAGATTGTGCTATGCAGCCCCCATTGCTGTTGCTGGTAAGAAATAAATATATGCGCTAAGAGTAAGAGCTGGCTAAGAGTGAATTATCTTTTGAGTGAATATGGTCCATGTATGTTAGCAGGGCCATGTTATGATACTGTTCCCACTACAAGGGTCACTGCCCTGTAACTTGTTGTGTCACAGACATCTGCCAACTCTTGTTAGTGTCAGCCAGGGTGATAGAGGTCACAACCAATTCCTGACTATGGGGTGTGCCTTGAATTTCAAACATCTGCCAGCCTGCCTATATTTGCCATGTTGTGCTTTACACTGACAAAAAATAACTTACACAACAACAAAATATAAAAGGGAGTTAAAACAAAGTTAGAACTGACTAGAACACCTACATGTATGATTTGCTGTGTGTTTTCTTTTAGAAATGGCCTTTGTTTTCAATAAAACAAACAAACAAATATCTGTGAGAAATTACGACTGGATGGTTTGTACCTTATTGTACTTATCAAGCCATAGCGATAATTTTAAGGACACGTTGTCAATGTCATTTACATGTACATGTACCATAATAATAAATGATTATACTGTAATCTGCAGCTGCAGTACCATCTTTACCCACTAGGTGGTGTTGGGCCTAGGGACAAGAGAACATTTAACCTGAAAAAGTAGTTCGCACTGTACATGTACAACTAACCTAAAATAATTCTAACCCGGCCATTTTAGTGATTAAATTTAAGTTAAGCTCCCACTTCTACCAATACAGGCAAGGTGGCAAAATAAGGAAATCAGTTTAATATACTGATCAACAAAGCATGGTGATTCACACAACTTGCAGTACCATTGCCTGCCATTAGGAGGCATTGTGGCATGGAGAAAGATTCCTAGACAAATTTGATCATTCAATAGTACGGTAATTTTCCTAGAGGGATAGCCATAGGTAGTAACATACATGTACATGTATACATACTCTCTTTGCTTCCAAACTTTTCCATGTGTTCTTCACTGGTTGTGATTTCAATCAAAGAACTGTATACATGATAAAAGATACAGTATGCTCTAACAATAAAGTACAATTATGTAATGTAAATTCTGCAAAGAATTGCAAAGCTTACCCTTGACTTTGGTGTGGTCTTCATTCCAAGAGACGGCTGGCTTCTTGACTGTAACAGGGCAAAAAAATGTTATGAGACGCTGGTCAAATTTCTACCCAAACTTCAAAGGGTTGAATCAGATTTATGTCATGGAACTAAGCAACTAACTGAAGGAACAAGTAAAAACTGTCCTAAAACTGATAAAAAGAGGTTTTTAGTCTAAAGCATGCATTTTCTGACAGAAAATTTCATGTGAGGCTGGTCAAATTTCTCCCAAACTTCAAAGGATTGAATCAGGTCTATTTCATGAAACATTTGAAATGATTTAGAGAAATACGTAAGGCAAGACTGTCCTAAAACTGCTAAAAAAGAGGTTATAAGTCTAAAGCATGCATTCTTGGTACATATGTAGGTACATATCTTACCTGTTCTAACATAGTAAATACCATCCTTCCTAGCGTTACCACCTAGACTTCCTACAACCGTTGCCTGTTTGTCTACAGATCTGTTCCCAGAGCTTCTGCCTTCTCTATTACTGAGTAAATTAGCTTTTCAACTGCCAAAATGCAAATCAGGCTCTAAACCGGGTCCCGGCACATCTGAGTAAACCGTGTGTCTGTTATCAGGTCCTGAAGGTTTGGTCTGAGCGGTTCAGTGTCACGTGAAGACCCAGACAGGAAGAATGTGGGTTTACCTGTTACTGACAAGGTGCGACTTGGCAGGGGCTTGAATGGTTTACTGATCACGAGGTCACTTTCTTATCATTTTGTAGAGACTAACAGTGAAGTTGACAGGAGACCTTACTTTAGAAAACTCTTTAGAAAAAAACTAAAGAATTCTGCATTACTTTAAAAGAAAAAAAATCTCTAACGACTTGACTCCACACTTCTTTGAAACTCTTAGTGAAACAAGTACATGTACTAAAACTCACACCTTGTTAAATCAACATCATAATTTATGATACTATATTTCAGTTACTGGACCAGGTATAATCTTTCAATCCATGGAACCAGTCCTTCCTTAGGCTGAAGTACCAGTATCTTGATATCTTTTCTACTGACTTTCTCAACAAAAATTGAATGTAGTGACATTGTCAGAAAAGGAAACCCAAACAATAAGAACCCAACAGTGGTCCAGACATCAGGTATGTCACATCTTCCTGTTAATTGTTATACCTGTTGATGTCTACATGACATGTAGGTGTAAGAAGCATGGCTTCATTGTACAATCACATTTTCTACATAGTATTACCTGCAGACAAATTTATATGCACCAGTCAGAATTTAGGAAGTATGGATCATACTAAAATCTGTTCAAAAACATCAGCAGCACAGCCCCAATTTTATCTGCACTAACCTAGCCTGCTCATATGCAGGACTGGTGGTATTTCAAGCCCTGACAATATTAAGTATATGGTGTACACATGTATGTTACATGCAGATTTTATTTCTACAAAAATTCATTGTCAAAAGTTAAAAGACTTTTTCACACTGATCACTCACCTTCTTTTCAGTGTTTCACAGTCATAATTTATTATAAACTCATCAAAAGGGTGATTCTGTAAACATTTCAAATGCAGACAGTGCTGTTTTTAATAACAATGAGGATTTCCCTTCAGTAGAATTGTTGTTCATAAGGGTATTGTGGTTGGTCTTGTGAAGACAAAACTAGCTCCAACTGGTTCACACTGACATTTGGTGTGTGGTACATGTAGGTGGAGACTGAGGTTTGCCCAGACGTGAGGTATGTGATATCTTCCTGTCAAGTTGACCTGCGGTTACCTATTTACCACCAAGCATGACCTGGCAGGGTTACTGTAAGGCCCGATTTACACAGGGCAAAAATATATTTTTGCAGCGTCAAACAATGTGCGGCGCCAAGTCCTTTTCTTCCTAGTTGTTACAGTTATTCCATCTTTCAATGCAGTGGTATCATTAAAAGTTCAAAATTCATTGTTTAAATTTTGAACCAGCCTGTTGTGTTGACTTCATGGCTCCTATCGTACCATGGGCCATTAATAGGATGCCTAGGCCTGTTTTTATAATTTTTTTTTCGCCCGCCTGCTCCATTATTTTTCTAGAAAAATCTGTTAACCAAGAAATTAAATTGGTGTGGCCTAAGTAGAAGTCTTTACAACAAGACCACTAACTGATAGATGGCTTCCTTCCACTTTGTAGACCATCTCATATGTCACCACTTCAGTTTGGCACTGGTAAAATGATAAAAACCTTTCTCATGAGTATTGTTTGCAGTGTTTCTAACTGGTTTAAGTCTGCAAACTTGTCTAAGGCATTTTTATCACAGCTGTGAGACAGTTGTGGTCTTAACATTAGAGGTTTGTTATTTTTAAAACTTATGTTTTTTTTATACAAACAAGGAAGAATATGCCATTGGCAAGATCATCCTGAGAGTGACACATTTACTGTATGACTGAATGACACTGTCTTATCTTTTCAGTAAGACCACACCAATTTAATTTGTTGTTTCTCTTTTTTTTTTCAGAAAAAATATGGAGCGACAGGGCGAAAAAAAAAAAACAGGCCTAGGCACCCCATGATAGAAATGTTATATATGAGCCATGAAGTGAACATACCAGGCTGGTTTATAATCAAAACAATAGATTTTAAAACTCTAATGAAACAAAATTGCATTGTTAGATTGAAAAACTTAAACAACTAGGAAGAAAGAACTTTCTTCAACCATTGGGACCAAAATATGTCTTTCATTGAGCATTTTGCAGTTAATTTGGAAGATTTTTTTTTTTTGCAAATCAGCAAAAAATGGACAAGGCGAATCTGAGAAACAACAAATTAAATTGGTGGGGCCTAAAGTACATTCGAAATGTGTTTGTAATCTAGTATGAAGTTAAGTTGTCTGGTTTAGTGTCTCCTCACCTTCTGTGAGACGCTGCTTCTCCTGATGATCCCCTGGGCTGCAAACCTGTACTCCTGCTCCAGACGTTCATATTGGAGCTTTATACGACTGTGGAGAACACAAAAACCAGGACACATTAAGGTACGGATCTCAAAATACAATGACTGTTACAATAAATGTTTGAAAAGCTATTATTTGTCTCGGGCAATTAAAGGCATTCAGCATGCTTTGAATTCTAAAATCTAATCTGCTGCTAGAAGAAAAAATATTTACCTGTGATTTAACTGCTGTCTTTCTAGATCTGAAACCTGTGGACAAATCATAAGACACACTTTATCACACGAAAATACACTGAATTGCATTTACATTTATACCTTGATATATATCATGACAAGATTTTTAAAAAGAAAATAGCAACAACATTCTAATTAGAAAAATATTTGTATGATTGTAAAATACATGTAATTTACTTCCACTTTTCAACATATTTGGCAATTATCTCACATTTCTGATATTTATGATTGGCACTGAAGCATCCCACATGAGGCACACTGAGTTTGTATTGCCACCACAAACTAAGGATGTAAACAAACATGGCTAACAGCTTTGTTTCAAGCTTTCAGACAGACCTGTTCTGGGTTGATGTCTCCAGGACAGCTGAGGCGCTGCAGTGCACCCATCTCCCGCTGGAGGGCCAGCAGCTTCCTGCGCTCTGCATCCAGCAACATGCTGGTCACCTGTACAGGGACACAGGGCCAGGCTGGTTACTTACTGTGGTTTGTCAAGGATGGAAGTATAATTCATAGTCTTTGTCTTTGTGGCCAGTCCATACTAGTGATGCATACAGGTTCACTGGACTTGGATCCGGACTTGTAAAGTAAGAATGTTTAGGTTCAAGTCCAAAAAAAACTAAAAGTCAAGAACCGAGTCCGGACTTATTACCATAAAAGACCATTTCACATACCCCTTTTCTTTCCAAACCATCTAAAACCTTCCGTAGATTGTAAAGTCTTTGCTGCAAAACAAAGAAAACATTGCCATCAGGCATCGTCAAGTACCGGCCTCCATGTTATGTGGCCAAAGTTTCACCTAGACAACATTGCAAGGTTGCCAACGTGCAATTTTGTATATGCCACGGGTTTAGGTCCAGACTTACAAGTCCGGAACTGAACCTAAATCTCTGGACTTGAATCCAGACCTGAACCTAAAATTGGGTTTAGGTATGCAGCACTAGTCCACACTGGGACCAATAACAGTAGTAGAAACTTCTACATATAACATTGTAGAATTGTACTTGTTAGTCACACCCAGGCTTACACATCGACAAACACAACAACAACAGCACCTGCACTAAGTTGGGTAGATCTTATTGCAATACACCATCCTTTCAACAGGGGGAGCACATTCACACTGCATAGGGTAGGGCCAGGGATATGGCTTATTATATCATATATGTCTTCTGTACAAATACATTGAAAAGTTGCCAATAAAAAATATATGAATTAAACATCCCTTTTATATATTGTTGTCCTTTACATCATTCTGTATTCTAGCAAACATACAGAATAAAACATAATTTAATAATTTATTGTTCTTAACTTTTAAGTTTTGAAGTTACATAATATCGTATCATCTAGCAATTAAACATCCATACATGGTCCAGCACCGGAATTACAAACTTTTAGGAATTCTGATTCAATAAAAGTGTACATCAAATTTTTCCCAGAGATGCCCTGAACCACAGACCTGACTTAGACATGCCCGACAGTGTGATCTCATGCATGTTAATGAGGCGGAAGCATACGTTTTCCACTCTCTGCACGTTTGCGATGAATCATCTATTATACATTATAGATGCTGTACAATAACGCCCTGCGGTAAATCTCTTCAATAGGACCTGCCCTTCACACACGACAGATTACAAAACTGGAGAAGTATGATATTCCTTAACTGCAGTTAGTGCTGCATACCGGTTCACTGGACTTGGATCTGGACTTGTAAGAATGTTAACTATAATAGGTTCAAGTAAAAAAAAAAAACCTAAAAGTCAAGATCCGAGTCCGGACTTATTACCATAAAAACCATTTCACATACTCCTTTTCTTTCCAAACCACCTAAAACCTTCCGTAGATTGTAAAATCTTTGCTGCAAAATGAAGAAAACATTGCCACCAGGCATCATCAAGTACCAGCCTCCATGTTATGTGGCCAAAGTTTCACCCAGACAACATTGCAAGGTTGCCAACATGCAATTTTGTATATGCCATGGGTTTAGGTCCGGACTTACAAGTCTGGAACTGAGCCTAAATCTCTGGACTTGAATCCAGACCTGAACCTAAAATTGGGTTTAGGTATGCATCACTATATAACTGCAGTACCTTCTAAGGTAGCCATTTGGTTGTATTGATTTTGTATTATATTGCATTTTTATCATATTGGTGTTAAGCAGCAGGGAGAAGGTTAACTACTCCCTCCGGGGAATGAACATGCAATAAAGTTTCATCAATGACAGTCCCCTGAAACTTTTGTAGACCACTGTAAAAGACTTTGATACAAGATTAAAACCTTCAGGCATTTTCCAGAAATTAGATTATATAATTATATTTACTAATATATAATGTAATTCCTGATTTTGTTCACAGTAACTTTATGTTCACGTGTTTTTACGGTCACTTCTGTACCGTGAGCTTGTGATTACCATTAACAAATTAATCACCAACTTTCTTTATTTTCTCCACCTGTCACCACAGTGAACATATGATTCCATCAACACCTCCATTTTAAAATTCATAAAATTATGTTATTTTTTATTTTCCTCCTGTGTTAGTATAGCTTTAGTTGGCTGGTATTATTTTGTTTATTTCTTTTGTTTGTTTATTCTATTGTACCTTTGTATTTGGATCCATGGTATATGATTGTGTTATCTTTTGTGTTATTGTTGGTTTATTTGTTATTTTGTAAATGAACAATAAAAAATGAAAAAAAAAACACCTCCATTTTTCTCAGACCACAAACTTTCGCTACGCATGTAATTCTTACCAAACTGACACTAACACACTCCAGTTTCAGGAGTCAGAACGATTCTGGTTCAAACCATGCAATGACTGCTATGAATATGTGTTGACGATACAATAAATCACTTGACACTGGCCATACATTAAACATTACTATTATGTCAGGAACTGCACAGAAGGGAAATGGGGCATTCAGTCTGAGCAGTCAAGTGGTAACGGGTCGTTTAAATGTCACCAGCCTCGCCCATAAACCTGTCATGGAGACCTATAAATGATGCATCGCGGGTTACACACGCTGGGTGTGGAATAACACATGAAATCTGTGCCATATTGTCATGATCAAACAATGTCAATGTCAGAGGCAACACTGTGGGTACAGATTCAAATGTGACCTTATGTAATGAGCGATTGATTGAGTACTCAGGGCTCGAAATTAGAGGTGGTCCAATGGCCACTGACCACAAAAATTTAGGCTAGGACAACTAAAAAGACACTCTATGGTACAATAGAAAAATAATCAACATCAGAATGTCAGCCCTTAATTTGTTTATAAGGTACACGTCCCGACTTTTGGATCTGGAAAGGTCTCCCTGAATTTCCTGTCTACTCTGCTCTAATCTATATTATTATTATTTATAGAAATGGAAGTGAACATAAGCAAAATAAAGTTTAAGTCATACCATACTTCCAAAAAACAGGTTGGGACAGTCCATCCTCACTTCGGGACAATTGAAATTTATTGTAACAGTTGTGACAGTGCCGGGACAATAGGAAGAAATGTTAATTTCGAGGCCTGGTACTATACTAGTACTGTAATTCACTTTATGATGTTCACGGTAGCAAAATTTCACGGTCTGAGAAAAATGGACGTGTTCACGGAACTATATATTCACAGTGCGACTGGTGCAGGAAAAAGAAAGTCCAGGAATTATTTGTTAACTGTAACGATAAATTCATGGTACAGAAGTGACAGTGAAAACACACTTGAACATGATATTAAATGATAATACTGGGAAGAAATCAGGAATTACAGTATACAGGTATTTTCAAACTGTAACTACTATCTCTGAGTCAATGATATGAAACTACTAGTCACTGTCACAGTGATGATGATTTGCCCGCCTTGTTTTATTCGCCCAATCCCATTAACTTTATGGTCTACGGAGGATGCCATCCACAAAATTTACTTGCTGTGGACAATATCAACAGAAGGTGAGTCTAATACATTTTGTACCAACTATGTATAGACACACCCTGCATCAGGCTTTTAGCTAGGGGGGCGTCCGGGCGTCTTTTGGACGCCCTGTACTGAAAATAAGAAGAAATTGGACGCCCTACTTTTTTGTAGGACGCCCCAAAGACGGCCTATTTTTTTTTCCACCATTGCTTTTCAAAATTAAGGATTTTATTCCAATATTTCCCCGATAAATGTGCTCGTCATTCCAGTTTTCTTCGGCCGAGCGGCGTGGATCGAGCCCTAATAATCGCATGGATCGGGCCGCTATTCATTCCATTGTCGGCACAATCTTGTGAAGTGTCGATGAATTGTCGATCTCGCCATGATGCCACAACTAAAACCTGTCATTGGTACAAAATCAGACACCCCGCTGGCATTTCTCAACACAATTTTCATGTAAAAAATAAACAACTCCGACTGTCAAAGTGCGCCGATTTCAAAAAAATCCCGACCGCATGGTCGCGGCACGCTGCGCTACTATCGGCAGCTCTGACGGAAAAATAATTCGTCCCCGGAAGAAATGTTACGCATAAAAATAACAACATTACCTATTCCTTTTGCACTGTCAACCAATTTCCCATTATAGATCTCCCACGAGACATTCCACATTGAGATCCAGTCAATAGGTCATTAATATTGGGCATTATAATAACAGATGGGGACTAGTGGGGCAATAAAGTTGACACCAATGCTACATGAATCATCCCTTAAATGTCGGCTCAACAGATATTCACAAAAGATAACCTGTCATCAGGCCACCTTTGATCAGGTAACAATTACAGTACCTATAGAAGAGACGTTTAGTTATAATGGTAAAATACAGGTAATAACTTTTAAAGGCATATAATTTCACGGTAGCAAAATAACAAAAATTGTGGATGAGGAAGTCTGATGTTTACAAAATTTTACTGACATTTTTTAGCACATCATTTTTAGACTTGAAGCTTTCGAAAATGCCCCAAAACAACCTACATTGAGGAATCCCTTTGTTTGGGGGTACCACCCATAAATAGCTGGATCTATTTAGTACATGTATGAGAGAAATATCCTCTTCAATTGTATACATTTTTAAATTCCTTAGGTTTAGATATTTACGATGTCGATAGCAAAGAAAAATTCATATTTCCCATGCAACTAGATACATGTAAGCCATATATTGTAAGTTCCATCTGTTCTTACACCGAGTACAACAGTCTTTAGATTGAGGCGAGAAGAAGCTGAACCTGTACATACTAGTTAATATGCTAATAGTATATAGACGTAGTAAGATACCAGACTTGCATCATTGTTTGTACATAGAACTTCACCATGACCTGTCTTTAGTTGGTAAGGGCATAAATGTACAATAAAGGGCTTTTATTCATTCATTAGGCCACACCAATTTAATTTCTTGGTTAACGGATTTTTCTTGAATAATAATGGAGCGGGCGGGCGAAAAAAAAATAAAAATAAAAACAGCCCTAGGCATCCAATTATGGCCCAAAGTG